GAGCGGAGCCGGTGGGCCATGCAGTCCCTGCCTGGCCTGGCCTGCTCGCTTTGGTCCTCCTCTGCTTTCTTTTTCCGACTTTTCCTTGCTCTCTCACGGCCACGTCCCTTCTCGGTGCCCTCACGTTTGCTGCCTGCCGGTGCCTCTGCGCTGCGCCGGGAGCTGCCGTCAGGGCTCCAGGCTCTGGGTGCTGCTGTCTCCGGCGGGGACACGCTCTCTTGGGCAGTGCAGGAGGGCTCCTTCCCAGGCGATTTCTCCTCCTTCCCGCTTTCCTGGGCTGGAGCTCCTGGCAGCTCCTCTTGATCCTCTGGGACTGACTCTCCGGTACCCTCCTCTGCTCCCAGGAGCTGGGGCTCCTGGTTGGGGAAGCCGGGGGCCAGAGGCTGCAGCACCACAGGGATCTCCACGCTCTCCCCCTCGCCAGGCACAATTTCCAGCAAGACGGGACCGCTCAGGATCTCCTTGGCCACGGGCTCGGCCTCAGGGTCCAGGCACACAGTGAAAGTGGGCAGGCAGTAGGGGTGCATGGACTTCACCAGCTCGCTCAGGGACACGTCGCTTGTGTTGATGATGCAGGGGTCTTCATGCTCCTCCAGTGCCACCCCAGCCCCGTTCACACAAAACTCGGCAGCCTCCATCCTGCTGCCTAGCTCCAGGCTCAAGGCAGCCTCCTCCTCCTCTTCCTCCCCATCGCTGCGCTGTGGCAGGGGCTGCTCTCGGGCCCGGTGCCTGCCCAGCTTCCTCTCCACCCTTGGCGTGCTGCAGACTTGCTTCTTCGGCAGCACTGGGGCCTCGAGGCCATGAGTGGCACGGTCCCAAGCCAGGTCTGTGTCGGTCTGGGAAAGGGAACCAGAGCGAGTGTCAGCTCCTGGGCTTTCCCCTGAGACCCCCAGGCACAGCCAGCTGTGGGTCTGCTGCAACTCTGCAGCAAAACCCCATGGCAGATGAAAAGTTGGAACACATCTGACACCCCCAGTAAGACACAACAGAGTGGGAAACCTGCCGTCCCTGTGGGGGCACCCACAGCACCCACCAGCCAGGGCAGCCCCTGCTCCCACTGCCACTGGTGCTCTGCAAAGGTATCGCTTCTGGGAGAGGATGCCTGCACTGGGTAGGCAGGCAGGGGCTGGGGGGCAGCAGCAGGGACACAGCTCCCTCAGCACCACCCCAGCACCGCTCCTTCAGCTTCCCCTGCTCAGCTGCTCACCTTCCCCACTGCAGGGATGCTGCTGCTGCTCAGAGGCCTGAGAGCCTTGGGCTGCTCCAGGGCAGGGCTCTCGCACTCCAGTGATGGCCGGGATAAGCTGAGAAACTTCTGAAACTGGAGAGAAGGCAGATGGAGCATGATGCAGCAGAAACCTGAGGGGACAGGCCACCCCTGGCCCTGCAGCAGCCATGCATGTTGTCCTGCAGACCCCAGGAGCAAGCTCAGCCCCGTTTCACCCACGGCGCACACAGCCCCGCTGGTGGTGCACGGGCGACAGGCTGCTTCCCAGAGCCTCTGGCACATCCCTGGCTCTACACCAAGACCCAAGGTGAAGGCATGGCCCCATGAGCCCACACAGGAGCCCCAGGGCTGGCTCAGCCTTTCTCTCATGTTGCTGGTCACAGGGATTGCCCCAGGGTGCTGGGGACCAGGATGCCACCACCTTGGGGCACCCCATGCCAGGACCTGGCAGGACTGGATCGGCAGAATCCCACCTGAGCATCTTCCCACCCATTTTGGGGTTGGGCTGGCTCTGCCCCACAACTCACCGAGGGATTCTCCCGCTCCCGAGGCGAGGTCAGCAGCTCCGCATCCATGATGGTATCGAAGGGGGACAGGGTCTCGTCGTCCGTGCTGTCCAGGATTTCGGTGATGGCAGTCAGCAGGGAGAGCTCGTTCTGCGCATCCAGGCAGGCCTTGCTCTGCTGCAAGGGCAGGGGCTGACTCAGGGGGCGGCAGGGCACAGCCAGGGGACCCAGCCATGGGGGACATTGCTGCCACCCCCACCCACGCCACAGGCAGAGCCAGCCCGGCTGCTGCTTCCCGCACCCACGCGTGGGCTCCCACCTCGCTCAGAGAGAGGTCCTCGATGATGGAGATCACAGAGGAGTCAAGATAGTTCTGCATCGTCCCCAGGATCTCTTCCGCCTCCAAGATGGTTTCTGCGTCTAGTGATGTTAAGTTGAGGTCATCTTCCTCGAGGGAAAAGCACTGTCGAGGAGCACGGGGAGCCAGGTAAACACTCTGCATAGCACCACGACCTGATCTCCTCCGCAGCCCGGGTGGCCTCCTAACAAGCCGCAAAGCTCACTGCTGCATCCCCAGCACTCCCAAACACGGAGGGGGGGCAGGCAGGTCACGGCTGCACTGCAGGTCAGAAGATGGCACAGGGGACCTTCCAGCCCTGCTTTTCAGGAAAGGTTCTGGCTGGTCCGCCCCACTGCACAAAGCCCCGTGCTGCTTCCAGCCCGAGACCCTTCCCATTACCAGGGATGCCTCCACACCAAAAACTCCCGCCCAATTCACTCCACAGTTACAGGATTGGGAAAGAAGAATCGATAAACCTGCAGCAATTCCCAGGCTCTGCCCAACACCACACATCGCTCGCGCTGGACGGGGGGAGAGGCAGCCTCCCCCCCCCCCACAGACTGTCACGCGCTCCTCCGACTCCGGCTGCCGGCGCTTCAGATAAGCCCAAAACCATTACGAAATTCATAACAAAAGCGCAGGAGTCAGCAACAGAGATGCAGCCGGCTGCCACTGCCAGGGCCCTACCTCGACACCTCTGCTGCAAGAGGATACGGGCTGTGCTTGCGATCCAGGACCAAACTGGGTTTATTGCTGTTCTTCCTTCAAATTCCCAGCCCCACGACTTTTCCAGACCCCCAGCCAGTTCCAGGGATGTTTGGGTAATGCCAGGTTAACTTAGGAAAGGTCTCTGCACCGCACTCTGCGGTGCCACGCAGCCCAGTGCTGCAGGATGGCCAGGAAAAGCCAGGCAAAGCGAGACGCCGGGCGAGGGCAGGGGCTGCAGCCCCCAGCCAAGCAGAGCCGCCGGACACGCAGCCTCTGCCAGGAGCGGAGCGGCAGCGCAGGCGTGTCACCGGCATGAGACAGGACGCGAATTCCTGTTTGCAGATGGGCTTAGGCAGAGATAATGCAGGCAGGGAAGATAAGGGCACCAAGGCCAGAGCCCTGGGAGAGCACAACTCCCCCCCCAAAGCTGGCAGCGAGCTGTCCACCCCCCACAGCAGGCGCAGGGAGAATTTGGGTGAACCCTGAGGGATGCGCATCTGATGTGGCTCACCTGCGTTTCTCACAGGTACCGCAGCTTGCACAAGCCTGAGCCAACACAGGACAAAATGTCCCCCATCCCTGCACAAGACCTGCCTGTACTTTGAAATCCCCTTCTGGCAAGAGGGAAGCCGCATGGGGAGAAGAGCCGGCATTTCACTAAATGGGTCCTTCCTAAAATATGGCAACACCAAAGCCACATGCCGAAACCCCCAGCCCCTGGGGCTCTTCAGAGACTTGCCCCCCTCAGGCAGAGCAGGCACCTCTGGCCATGGCACAGCCAGGAGCCCCATACAAGCTCAGAGCACAGGCATCCCAGGACCAGGCTGGGAATCAAAGCCAGGACCCCCATGGCAATGCCCCGCATCCACCCATCCTGAATCCCCCCAGCCGACATGGCAGCCCCCAAGAGCAGGAGCCTGCAGGGGTCTGGGGCTTGGCAGGCAGCCTGGCAGCCCGGGCACCCTCTCCCAGGGCTCTCCG